GACCCCGAGTGGGGGTCGCGAGATGATTACAAAATAAAAATGGAAAATGAAAAAAAAAAAATCTATAAAAAAAAATTGATTAATTATTTTTATAATTTAATTTTTTTTTTAATTATTAATAATAACGTTTGCATAGACATTTTCAGGGGCGGACTAGCCATCTGTNGCTCAGTGAGGTTAAGGCACACCTTGATATGATCATTATAGTTATTAATGAGACATTAGAGACTAAATGAAAAACGGGTATAAAATACTATATGACAGTAACAAAAAAGTTATTAAAAATAACAAGAATAGAGTTTAAAAGGGGAGAGTGATTTGAAAATATCCAAAAATAAGAATCTGCTTGCATACAATATGGGTGTTGAGATGTATCCATACTGTAGATCTCCCAATGTTGCTCTCAAAGTGGACCAGATTGATGCTTTTAACTTCAATATTTAAAACCAAATCTTCCCGGGGGAGCATACCCCCGGACCCCCGTAGAGGAGGTTAGGTCCCCCCCCACTTAAATCATGTCCACATGGATAGGAAACTAAATACATTTGCACACATTGTGTCCATATCTTTCTGTGTTGGTGGTCATGCCACACCGTGCACATGCATGCATGCGCGAGTCATGGTAAGATATCTGGATTAAGAGGTTGCTTTTTCTTTGCACAGAATGAAAGAAAGGCGAAATGAATGGGCTGTGATTTTTGTTTTTTTTAAGCAGAGGTTGAGTTCAATCATTTGTACGGCCCTCGGAGGATGTTGTAAAAATTGAACTTAACATCTCTGTCTGCTATTGATCTGAGTATATTATAAAGAATAGCCAGTGAATTGAAGCATTGTAGCACAGGCCTTTGTCAGATGGTTTATTACGCTGTTTTTTTTCTGCCTCGAATAGTTCTCTCTTTTTTCAACATACCTGTGTTTGCATCACTGTATGTTATAGAGTACATTGGGGAAGTGATACATAAATATAGGCAAATTGTCGTTTTAGCTCACTTTTGGTTTAGCCAAGGTAAAATATCTGGATCTTTAGCTGCTTCCCATTTCCTTATGTTCCTAGTGGCTAGAATCTGGCAATACAATACTGTCCGTGTGATTTTACAGAGGTTGTGGATAAATATATTGCAACCTTAAAGTTTAAACAAGGCAATGCATAATGATTTTCCCAAAAATCCAATATTATAGCATTAGTTTGAGAAGGCACATATCTTTGCTGTTACTTATATTTTACAGAATTGATACGAAAAGTATCTTGTAGTGGATTGATCAGAGCTCTTTTCACTGAAAGCTGCTGCCTGCTTTGGCTGCAAAAATAAAACAATTATCTCCAAATGACAACTTTCATACAACACATTCATACAACACTGTTGATTATAATGTTGATTATTGCAGCTTAAAAAAAACCTGATTTAAGGATGGCCCCTTGAGATGAAACATCTCGTTTTCGATGGGGGTCCAGCTTTAAAAGGTTTATTTATTGTTTAGCATCTCATTTCAATTGAAGAACCATCAATTCTTAGTAAAACGTGATTATTACAATGCCGTTCGATTGAGAGCCTTTACGAGATAATATAAAATGATTATGCAGGCCTACATTACCAGCAAGCTACACTTTTAACAGACCAGAAATAGAGAAGTGTTGTTTATTACCTCGCTCTCGGTGTACCCATACACACGTGTTTACTCATACTGTTTATAGGGAGGATGCATTGCTCTGTATACACGCACTCCCACACATGAGACTCAGATGCTCTCCACATCCACATGCATAATAGTGTTATATTCCCAAAGGCATCTTCAAACAAACTGAGTGGGTGGTGCTGCTGTTTTTGTATATGCTCACAGACTATCCACACGCAAACATTATTCCAGAGAGTACACAAAGGTGGGACGCAGCTATGAACTTCATCACACCTACTCGTCTTCATTTAAATGGGAGACTAAGGCAGCTGGTATATTATTGGATACAGGAAACTTTTATATCACAATTATATAATCATTATCAAATAGTCGCTTTTCAGCTGAGCTCAGTTTCATCTCATACTGTCCAGATTATGTGCATACAAGTCTGCAAATGCAATGAGTATGGTATATCTCAGTTTCCAGTTAGGTTTAAGACTTTTGATCTGTGGTTGTGGTTTATTTAGTTTTTCCATTCTACATACGTCTCTTGTCAGAGCCTTCCACACATTCACACTCACCGCACAGGAAAAACAAAGTCAACACACACATGCAGGTTTTTCATCTAAACATCAGCGGCTGAGTGAGACTGCACCGATGCACTTTCATTCTCGAGTAGGAGTCTACGCTCACTATGCATATTGCTGCTCCTCCCCCTCAGTTGGTCAAACTCCTCTCTCAACTCATGTTCCTTATCTTGATAATGTGTTTTTCTTGGAACTCTCTTCTGTCTCTTCTTGAGGTTGAGCTGCTCTAGACGGTGAACGCAGTATAAAATAATCCACATTTTTTTAACCTGCTGCATTTTCTTTATATCATTTTATTTCAACCCTGAATGTCCTAAACATCATTTAAAGATGCTATCATTTATATTTGTACACAATAACAATGTTATCAAACAAGGTGAATTCTAAATGGTCCATCGCACTGTTGTGCCTGCATCTTGGCTATTAAACCTAACACAAAAAAGTAATTTGTGTTTTCAATGTTGGATCAGGATTTACAGTTCTTTTTCCCCTCTTATCAGAGCACTTCTATAATGCAGCATTAGAGAATGCTGAAGCCTATAAGATAAAACAGAGTGTACCGATTCAATTATTGAATGCCAAAAAACTCCAAAAACAAACATTATTTTAGGATTTACTGTTCATAAAATAAATTGGCATAAATCATTTAATATCAATCCTGTAACGTGTTACTTTGCACATTCTGTCATAACGTCCATTCTCTGTTTTCAGGTGGTACCATGGGCACCTCTCTGGGCGAGATGCAGAGAAGCTGCTCACAGACAAAGGCAAAGCCGGGAGCTTCCTGGTACGGGAGAGCCAGAGTAAACCGGGCGACTTCGTCCTCTCGGTTCTCACCAACGAGGAGAAACACGAGAACCTGGACCGCAAGACCAAGGTCACCCACGTTATGATTCGCTACCAGGTGGGCGAACTCTCCCTCATCACTCACACTACCTCCACAGCATGTCTTTTTTAGCGCTCTCGGAACTCCACGGAGCAGCTGTTACTGTCGTTAAACTGTAGATGTTTGCCTCCAGCAGGACGGTAAATACGACGTGGGAGGCGGCGAGAGGTTCGACACCCTGGCTGACCTGGTGGATCACTACAAGAAGAACCCCATGGTGGAGAAAAGTGGCATTGTAGTGCATCTAAAACAGGTATGGAAGAGAAATAAAACAAACATATTTTGCTTACAGTACTTTAATGAAGTTGCAATATTTTTGTTCATTTAATCAACTCACTTGTTTTGCTCTGTTGACTAATTACATTTCCGTGTCCCGACGTGACAGCCCTTTAACGCCACGAGGATAAATGCAGCCAACATTGAGAACAGGGTACGAGAGCTCAACAAAGTGGCAGACAACTCTGAGAAACCCAAACAAGGATTCTGGGAAGAATTTGAGGTATGTAGATTGAAATCAGTTCATAATGAGGATAGTGTATTTAAAAATAGGCTCAGGTTATATTGGATGAGTCTAGCCATATTTAGGAGAACAAATTAGATAAACTGAGTTGTGCAAATTACTCTTTTGAGTGCCATCTGCCATGGGATGCACATTTACTTGGGATGAAGGTTTATTAATAGCTTTTGTACACACAACCTTTGTGAAGCAGATTTTTACATTTCAGTTACTAATTCTACCTGTGATTTCTATATTGCTAACATAGAGTACAGAGTATGCACATTACTTTCCGTAGCAAGAATTTCAAATATTAAAGGCATATCAAATGCAATTTTTATAATGACTTTTTTTTTACCCATCTCTTCCATTTGTGAAGGATTACACAAGCGAGTTATTTGTCTTCTTGCTCATCAAGGGAAACGTGTTTATGCTAGCTTAATCTCTGAGTAATGACGCCGAGGCTTATCTTGTGTCATGCTCTTATGTTCCTATATTTTTAATCTCATTACAATTTGCAGGTCAATAAATGTGAATGATTTCCACGGTTTCAGATTATTATTCTGTAGGTGTTACAATCCCAGCTGTTTACTGCGCATGTTTGTTTACAGTGTCGCTGTTACTCATCAATGTGTGGTCGTTGGATTTCCTGCCCCTAGGCTCCAATCTTGATTTAGATCATCATCTTTCAAATGAATTTGAATTGCTTACTGCATGTTCTGTGTAAAAGTGTGTGTGAGTGACATAATATACATGACAAACACACTATTAAGCTGTCTGCAATTTGTTTTTATGGCATAAGTGTTGGAATTTAAGGACTGTAGATACGTGCTGTACTTGCTTCACATATTTTACCCTTCAAGAGCCTATATGTAGATCCAAAATTAGTTCATTTAGAAAGTTAGAAAGTATAGTTTTTGAGCCGTTTCAATCTGATACGGTTTCTTTTAAGGCTAAAACCTGAACACACATGCCATTTCACTCCAGATTGACCCCTACTGTATAAAAGGCCTATCACACTGTTTTAACACAGAGCATATGAACTCATTTTTCTAGTTCATATTTGTATGTTGTTCCTCTACTGTAACATGTCTCCATGCTTTAATGTTCAGAAAGCTCTTTATTTTCCTCACACTGCCTGTGCTGCAGCACCTCTTTTCACCCTCTGTCTGAAACCAGAGCCCAGTCTGCTCTGATTGGTTAGCTGGACAGCTCTGTTGTGATTAGTCAACCACTTAAAGCTCTCCCGACCCCGATCTCGTACAATGTGTTGGAGCACTAACCAATAGAAGCCTGATTTTTACATAGTGCTGTCATTATGTTACGGAAATAAACCCCCAAGTCTAATCAAGGTGTTTCAGGCAGGGGGGGGGGGACTTTGGGTTTATTAGTCTATGCAGACCATTTACAGCAGGGGTGTCAAACTCAATTTCATCGCGGGCCACATCAGCATTATGGTTGCACTCAAAGGGCCGGTTGTAACTTTAATACTAAATAAAAATACATGTATAAATATATCATATATACAAAATAATGTATTATATTACATTATTGTCTCTGCATTGGATTATTATCGGATAAGGTAATAATAACTTCATGATTAACTACGACTGAAAGCAGAAGACTTGGGAAAATAATTGCAAGTCTCTTCAGTGAGAATGTCACAAAATCATTTCAAAAGAAAAGCCACATTTTGGAAAAAAAGTCACAATAAAAAAAAGAAGTGACATTTAGAAGAAAAAAGTCAAATTCTGAGAAAAAAGTCAAATTTGAGATGCATTGTGCTCCATGTATGGGCAACGTGCTTCTGTAAATTGGCATGTAACCGTATAATAAACATATATTCTTTGCAAGCTCTTGTAAACATAAAATTAAGTCGCGGGCCGGATTTGGCCCCCGGGCCTTGAGTTTGACACCCCTGATTTACAGGCACAAAAACGTAAATAACTCACTACTGGCAAGAGGAAACCCCAAAAAGCATAATAGGGCCCCTTTTAAAATAAGTTTTCTTGTTAATAAGAAAAGATAATTTAAGAAATCAGTGTTAAGCCAAACCATCGCCACCTCCATCTAAATATTTGAATCAGGTTGATATGAATGAATGACCTCAGAATTTATGTTTTTGCACTACTGTCTTTATTGGAGCTCTGTCTTACAAAAAAAACTCACACTTTTCCTTTTTCCTTTTCTTCCACTACCAGGTACTTCAGCAGCAGGAGTGCAAACTGCTGTATCCCCGGAAAGAAGGCCAGAAGCCAGAAAACAAGAGTAAAAACAGATACAAGAATATCCTCCCTTGTGAGTCATGCAGCAACCTGCCATTTCCTGTCTCTCCAGCTTCCTGTGGAAAGAATGACACAAATATGCAACTTAGAGGCCTCGGCGGAGTGTGAAGACTTTTGCTTTGATAACTCTCAGCCTGAGGGGCTACATTAGTTTTAAAAGTGTGATCTTAGTCAATTGTTGACATTTCTTTGTATATTTAGTATAATATTGACCTTGTGTTTTTCAGTCGACACAACTCGGGTGGAACTCAGGGAAGCAGATCCAGATTGTCCTGGTTCGGACTACATCAATGCCAACTACATCAGAGTGAGTCTACGCAGCAGTTGAACAGGCCATTTATCTATTGAACTGTAGATTATCCAAAGATGGCAGTAATACAAAACGTTCAGCAAATACCCAAGATAGTTCACCTTAACGTAAGACATATGTTGATAGAGGAGAGTATTATAGTAAGTATCAACCGTATTCAACAATCAATCAAAAAAAAATATTTTCCTGTCTTTCTTTTTCCTTCTTCTTTCTCCTTCTTTTTCTCCTTTCTTTCTTTCTCTCTTTCTTTACCTTCTCCTTCTTTTTATTATCTTATGTTCTTTCTTTTTTGAGTTCCTATTTTATTTATTTCCATCATTCTTACTTTCTTTCTTACTTCCTTTGTCCCTGTAATCTAGGAAATGTTTAATCAAGGAATTAACATTTCAAATATTTATTTCTGTCTTTCTTTTTTTCTTTTAGTCAGAAAATGTAATAATCAAGACGTTAAACAATCACTTTCTATATATTTCTATTGTCTATGTTACTTAATCCACTGTATAATGATCCACGCTGAACAGAGTGTGTATGAAGATGGGAGCCATGTGGATGAGGGCAAAGTCTTCATCGCCACCCAAGGGTGCTTACAGAACACGGCCGTGGACCTCTGGAAGATGTTGTATCAGGAGAACACACACGTCATCGTCATGACCACGAAGGAGATAGAGCGGGGGCGGGTGAGCAAGTGGCGATAAACACACTGCACATTTTTAGAAGTCAAATTCAGCGGAAATATTTATGTTTTTCTAGAGAGAGGTAGATTGTAGCTGGTATTGATCCTGAGGGAAATGAAGGTATTTGGGAGCTTTTACCATACATACAAAGACATCGATTAACACAGAGGAATGAGGAATAAAACATATTGTGGTACTAAAAGGACTATAGATTATATTATGAAAGCACATCTCTTTTTCTCTCCCCAGTTCTATTTGGTTTGCTCTCTCTAGCATTTAGTCCTAAACGCTCTCTGTTGTCTCTCCTCTTTGAGCTGATTGCTGTTGATTGCTTGTAATGATGGAGATCTGTGAACTCCAGGGTGCTCTGTGATTGGAGGCTTAAGGTTTTGCAATAGGCCTGAGCCAAACACTCCACATCTACCAAATTTAAATGTTACAAATCCACTACAATACTCAAATGCAATTCATTTAAGAGTTGCCTTAATAACCAGATTGATAACGAATACTTTACAAAAGACAAAATCCTGTAAGAACAAACTGGTTCTTATGTATCTTATGTGTTGTTTCACTTTAATCACAGAACCATGTCCTGGTGTTGAACTTTACAAATCTGCAGTGCTCCAAAAGCTGGTCAACCATTTTGTTCCTGCATTCTCATTTAGAAGACAGAATGGGAGGGCATTATCTGGAGTGTAGTAGGGATGATGGTTGGCAGAGTGTGGGGGTGGGGAGGTAGACGGCTGACAAGGATAGTATGACAGTTAAGCTGATTTGAAAGCTGCTTGAGATGAGCTGCTTCTTTCGATTGTCTAATACCACCCTCCCTCTCCATCTTCCTCCCTCCGATTCCCTCCTGGTTTAGAACAAATGTGTCCGTTACTGGCCCGACCTCCACTGCACTAAGGAGTTTGGGAAGATTCTGGTGAGGAACGTGGACGAGCGGCCGGCGCAGGACTACATCCTGAGGAAGCTGGAGGTGACCCGCCTCGACCGGGTAAGGAAAGCAGTGCACTCAATCAAAGTTGACCCACTGACCTGGGGTCGGATTATCTAGCCCCTCACGCACACGCACAGACACACACACACACACACACACACACACACACACACACACACACACACACACACACACACACACACACACACACACACACAGACATGGACAGACACAGACATGGACAGACACAATCCTACAGCACGTGCTTATACTTAGAGAAGGATGACCGCATGGCTTTCAAGGATCCAAGAACACGATAGCAAAGTGAGATAGTAAAAGTAGGGTTTCTGGTTTCTGTAATCCTTTACTTTAAACCCGTCCTAAGCATTAGTTACTCAGCATGATAGAAATTAGACACATACTCCACAATTCTCATAAAAGCTGATTCCAGCATTGACGCCTCTGCATTAGTACTGCTTTAATTATAACATTTACAGCAACAAAGCCTGCCAGTGACTACCACAGTTTATCTATCTGTTACAGTTCTCAAATCAGAGACAACACAAATATGGAATTTTTTACCAACGTTGGGAGTCTTTGGGAAAAACAACTTAAATTATCTAATAGTATTGTTGAAGTTTCATATTAGCTTTAGCTAAACTTTAGAAAACCATGCTTGGGTATTGTTGATTATTTCCCCTATTACCTACATTATGAATGTAATGACATGTTTGCAGGATAAAGTCCATTGTCCAGGGAAGAATTTTTGTTGGGCAGTTTATTTTTTTTGTTTTGGCCGTTAAAACATTACAAAGAACAATGGCTGCTGCCTCCACTTAACTCCTTCTCTGTGGTATAAAACAAATATGCCTTTCCCGATCTGTCCTGTAAAACAATTAATACCAATTAACCCAATGCTTTAAAGGTAGGGTAGGTAAGAATGGAGAAACCAGCTCCAGTGCGCTAGAATTTGAAAATACACAACCGAAAAAAATCTGCCCATTCCTTCAGACTTCCTTACAGAGCCCCTCCTCCAACACACACGAACGCGCACATGACCAATGAGGGCACGAGATAAGTTTGTGCACAGATGGAAGGCTGACAGGCAGGTAGGCCATCCAGTTATTTTAGCCGGGCTGAGGCAGATGATTGGACTTGCTTTTTACAGTGCCATGGCTTCCACAGATGAAATATTTGTATATATTATTTGTCAAAGCATTTAATGTATTCATTGCTATCGGGATGTTAAGAGCATTGCATGGAATATAACAAAAAGTGTTTCTGAAGTGAGTTACCTACCCTACCTTTAAGTTGCTCTAAAAAACATTGACAACTTCTCCAAATTAACCACGAAATGACACTGATATAATGATGATATCACTCTATACCTATTACATTTAATACAACCATGAATTGCTGCAACACAAATATTGTAATATTACTGCAACAGGTATGGGAAGTGTTTTGACTGCTTCAGCTCATCATCTTTTTGTATGCAGAAGGAGCCTCTGAGGTACATGTGGCACTACCAGTACCTGAGCTGGCCGGACCACGGCGTGCCCAACGAGCCCGGCGGGGTCCTCTGGTTCCTGGAGGAGGTCAACCGCACCCAGAGCACCATTCCAGACACCGGACCCATCGTCGTCCACTGCAGGTACTACCAGTTTTACTTTGTGAAATAAAAAGTTTGGCCCTCAGACACTGTAATCGAGCCACATGTTAGTTAATCGAGCCACATGGCTCTACAGCAGATACAAACAAAAAAGGCTTTGTCTGCACATTAGTCTTCTAGTTGAAGAAAGGAGAAGTGATTTAAAGGTTGTGGTTTTTACTCCCACCAGAGTTGATCTTTACTAAAGTTAAAGTTGATCTGAACAGTAATCACTTAATTCTCATGTTGTATAAACTCCTCTGAGGCGGGGTGGGATATCCTGTATTGCTGAAATGATCTGTGGGTCACCACTCGCTCGTTTCCTTTTTGTTCTTCTTAGCCATGTTGATTCAATTTCTCATGAGATGGTTAAATGGTGGTGGACACCTGACAATTCAATCACTAAATACAAATGGATTAATTCAGGATTTAATCGAATATTGTTTCAAGTGGCCACTGGGGCGCGCTATAATTAAGGTAAAAACTTTACTTATTGCCTATTGCTATGCCTTTATCAGTTTAGAACCATCAAAACTAATTAACAAGGTTATTAATATTACTAAAACTCTGGTAATTTGACTAAAAGATCCATGTTGTCTATTGCAGATGATTTATTTTACTAATATAATACTCTTCAAGTTGTACTTATATTGATCTGTTGTACTTTCAAAGGAAAATAATCACTAATCACAAATCAAATAAAGAAGCGCTTTAGATGCTTTTTTTGTATATTATATTTTTAATCTTAAACACAAAGAAAACATTTATGTCATGTATGTCATTCCTTCAAAGATAAAGCTGTTTTCCTGTACTCCATGCTACCAATCCCCCAGCGTGCTACAAACACGCGGACAGACTGAAAGCAGACACATCTGGCTCATGAACTTGACTGATCCGCCGGCTGCTGTTAAATGAATGTGTTATTGTGAATATAACACTGAGCTGTTCTGAGTTCTCTAGGAGATCTAACAGCATTTTATATGTGACACAACAACACATTGAAGTTTATAGCTGTTGGCAAATGAAACCTATAATTTATAACCTTAGACTTTGATGTGTTACTCCGATAGTCATGTACGGGATGAGAAAACTTTTGATGCTCATGTTACACTTTTCATAACTGTCTGGGTCGTATCAAATATGCTCTCAGATGAAGGTACATCTATTCTTCACCTTGACATTGACGCTTATTGAATGTAAGTGTAACTGAATGTGATTTCCCTCTGTTGTCCCCGCAGTGCAGGCATCGGCAGGACAGGCACCATTATCGTTGTGGACATCCTTATTGACATTATTAATCGCCAAGGTAGGAGACTTTATAAAACTCACACTGGGTTTCTTTTATACATTTGAATATTTTCCCTTCATCTCTGTTAATTTTCCGGATCGCGTTCTAGGTCTAGATTGTGACATCGACATCCCTAAGACCATCCAGAGGGTCCGGCAGCAGAGGTCGGGCATGGTGCAGACAGAAGCCCAGTATAAGTTCATCTACATGGCTGTGCAGCAGTACATAGAGACGGCCCAGAAAAGACTGGAGGAAGAGCAGGTACTCCACGACACAGGAAATCAACAACACTGTGGACACAAAAACATATAATAACCCTTTTTGACACAGTATTGAGGGCTTTGAAATATTATCGTAAGATGTGTTTGAGTTCCCAGGGAGAATATTGTGTAGTATGGTTTGAAAGCTAGAGCACTGAGGTAAACATCAGTTTAGTAAACACCTCATCAAAATGCTGTCCCACTGTTGATGTTTTTTCCTGGGCCAACAGTGTCCTTATTCAATTGACAAAGTTGAAGGGGGTAGACAGAGGGGATGGTCCCCGGCTCCTCTGCATGGGGACATTGCTGCAGTACATGTGCGCAGAACAACTGAGCTATATGGTGGCCTGTTGGGACCATTTAAAGTAATTAGGGTGACTAAATAATGACATTTTCAAACTCTCAAAATATTATCCCCCTTCTATTTATGTATTCATCAACAGGGACAGTGCACATACATCAACATTTCTGTAAATTTGCCAGTTAGCCAAGAGGCTATTTTTCCTCTGTAGTCCCTGGACAGATTGTCTGCTCTGTAATTATTGATATTCTCTGGCCGTAATACACTGGTCTACATTTTGTATTGCAATTCTTTTTGGAGATGTTTTTCTTTTATCTGCCTCTTGTCATGTTGTTACGTTGCAGAGGAATAAGCTGAAGGAGAGGGAATATTCCAACATCAAATATCCCCAGATGACCAACTCTAGGTCCAAATCCAACATGACATCCTCGCGCTCTTCTTCTGTGTAAGTATAACACATATTACAATGAAGTGGCAACTACCAAACATTTAATCACAAAAGCTTAAGCAGAAAATGCATTCAAAATTGTTCATCCGAGAATTTCCTTTGCTGTCTGTTATTGTAGGATGACAAATGATGATGCGTCGAGTGTGTACGAGAACATCAACTTTAAGAGCCCTCAGACCTCTTTTAGCAGCAACACCAGGAGGTAAAACCATCGCTGTGGACATCCGCATCGCTCTGTCTGCCTTCCTGTGAGTACTGCTAAATATATTCAGCCTCTTTTTTCTGAAATTAAACTTGTTTTGGTATTTTTCTCCTGAAAAAGTGTACAACTGTAGTATCATCTCAATTGCTGTGAAAAATCATTTTGACTGTAGCACTGTGGCAAAAAGGTCTGCATTACAGTAAATGTGGTAGAATTGTTTTGTAGGGTTTACACGCTGTTGTCTTTTTTGGAAAATAGAGCATTGACTTGAAGGTTCCCTGTAAAGTATTATAATTGTATTACTATGACGCTTCTATATGGATTCAAAGGTTTTATTTAGGGGTGCACCGAATGGGAAATTCTTGGCCGAAACCGATACCGAAAATAGGAAACAGTTGGCCGAAAACTGAATGCCGAAAGGCCGAAAATGATTAATAGAAATATATATATAATGTATACATTTTTTACCAATGTTGTTCAGCTACCTGATTATGGAAAAAGACATGATTATGGCAAAACTTAACTTAAATAATAATCACTATTATGGGTCCATAAAACATTTATTCAGCACTGAATAAATGTTTTATGGACCCATAATAGTGATTATTATTTAAGTTAAGTTTTGCCATAATCATGTCTTTTTCCATAATCAGGTAGCTGAACAACATNTTCCATGAGAATTAGAATAATAATCCTGTATAAGGGAAAATTCATTGTTCTGCTATAAACAAACCACATCATGATTGCATTACTTCACGTCACCAACGCTAATCTAAAAGGTTGCTTAAATTTGGCCTGATGACGCACAAACGACTGGTCTGCCACATGTGGAAGCCCCTACAGTATTTAGTTTCTCACCTGCTGAGCCCAGAGTAAAATGCTTATGTGTGCAAAAACTACTAAAGGGGGACAGCAAACACCAGTGTGATTTTGGCTGACGCAGATATAATGAAAATATATCAGTCCAAGCTCAGCATTGGTAAGGGAGATACTGGACAGGCAGAGAGAAAGGGAGAAAGTGATGGAAGTCAGAGAGGAACTGCAGGTTGTTGGGGCAGAATCTCTGCTCCGCGCCGTTCCTATATGAGCGGGTTCTCAAAAGAAGGAAAAATTCAAAGCAGCCAGGATAAGGGTTAAACAATAATCTGCTTTAATGGTAAAACATACAAATACATCACCGAATCACGAAGCACTCTGCAGAGTAGTCCGGGCTCAGGTTCTAACCCCATGTGAGACACGTCTCAGGAACGGCAAGTCAAAAACAAGAGCCCCGATCTTCAAAATGATCACAACATTTATACACAGAGTTCACTTCTGAGCGAGCTAGACAGTGAGTTGGCAGTGTTCCATTGGTCGGTTTCCCTTCTGGGCGGGATCCCAGGTAGTAAGTCAGTTTGTTGATTCCATCGTTTGCTTCACAGTGTATGTGTGTGTGTGTGTGTGTGTGTTTCTGTCCCTCTGCCCTCAGGCAGATCCCCCAATCAATGATTTGGAGTCATGACAGAGGACTCTTTGACAGGACACATACTCATTCCCCCTAAACATTCTCAACACACAAACATCGTATCATGTATCTTTAACAGAAGTTAATTGTTCTTCTCGCTTAATGGCTTCCCTGAACTTCCCTTCACCCCAAAGTCAGCTTACTAGGAATGAATACATTTTATTGATAAGCTCAAAAGGACGTTTATCTTGTTTACTGCTGGGTGACCCAAGTCTCAAGGCCTGCANGTGTGCCTTGGCAGTGTAATGCAATCATGATGTGGTTTGTTTATAGCAGAACAATGAATTTTCCCTTATACAGGATTATTATTCTAATTCTCATGGAAGTGTGTTCTTATTTTCTGCAATATTCCAAAATCCAATGGAAAACAACCATTCATTTTTGTTGAAGGACCCCTTCTAACTTCCAGGTCTACAGTACCTACAAAAACTGGAAATGCAAGTTAACTGGTTTCATAACAATTGTTTTCCTCATAGTTTAAAAAGTATTATGTAATCAATTTGGGTTTTTGGGGTTAGGGTTAGGGTTAGGGTAACCCAGTGTCGTCCCAGTTAGAGTATTTGGAAGCTTTGTGTCTTACACAGTGCAAGGAGAACATTTGACACAGAAATGTAGTTACTTATGAAGCGTTTGGAAAAGCTCAGTAAGGAGTCAGACCTTGTGTGAGAGAAATCACACGCAAGAAACTTAAATAGATTTGATTGTCCTTGATGTGACTCAGTTGTTATTTTGCCTGTTAGGACAGTTCAGGCAGGTCATGTTTCCCCTCTTAATGTGAAATATACTCTCACTGTCAGCCATGTTTTAAATCCTACTCTAATACTACATGTTTTTCTAGTTTAAGTATTTGTTTCACAAAATTGCATTTTGTATTTGTTCTGCATTAGATTGTTCCAGATATGCAAGTCAAATGTGTTCGCATACTCCCCAAAAAATGAATACAACGTTTTTTTTAGATGAACACTCAACTGTTCAACCTGCATGAATCTGCGTAGAGAAACATCATCACTGTCTCAAAGGTTGAAAGTTCACCGCATGTGGTAATAATACAAGGGACTTGAAGTGGTTTGTGTGTGGGCAGCTGTGTGGTCAATGACAGATGACAGCAGTCTGTGTACAAAAATATGCACTGTAAATATCCCATTTATTTTGGCCAATATAAGATGTCTGCCTTTGTATTATGTACCAGCTTGCGAGCATATTAAGTGTGTGTGTGTGTGTGTGTGTGTGTGTGTGTGTGTGTGTGTGTGTGTGTGTGTGTGTGTGTGTGTGTGTGTGTGTGTGTGTGTGTGTGTGTGTGTGCGCGTGTGTGCGCATAGGTAGGTTTTCACGGAAGTGTGTCTGTGGTCTCGTGTCTTTTTTTAATGCGAGACATGACATACTCTGCATGACTATTTTATGATTTGTTTTGTTTCATATTTGGTCGCTAAAATAATGCAACACAATTACTCAGACATTTATGAATATATCCATGTGGGTTCACCCGGCAGTATGTTTAAAATGTCTTCCCTTAAAATGATATGTGTGGTTTGGTGAAATAACTTTTCATGTCAATCGTTAAAGTTTGCTTTGAAATGGGGAGATAAACAGTAACAAAGGAATTAATTGAGAGCGGGCTATGACATATCCATTTTAGCAAGAAAAACATTCTTATGTTTTGAAAGTGTTCAGTGGAAGATCTTTGGGATGATGAAGCTCTTCAGGGCGTGTATGTAAGTTGTCCTTGGAAATATCCGCTCATTGTCTGATTTCACTTTATACATTTTGGCCAGTCCCCTTGGTACTTAAGATAAAGTAGTTAGGGTTACACTACCTTTAAGGATTCCTTCCAAAAATGTCTGAACAACAGAGACACACATTTGGACTCTAAATCCTCTGTAAAAAAACTCACAACAAGAAATACCCACCATAAGATCAGCCTAATGCAGAGGACGTTCTACTTTATTTCCATAATCTCTCCCTGCTCTGGATGGATCCCGTATTTAAGAATCAACAGTTACCCTAGAATATAACAGTTGGTCTATATCAACTTCAAGCTACTTCTCAAAACACCTTCAATAGGCGCGTTCACACCAAGTACTTTTCCCACAAAGGTTCCTGAGAACTCTTTAGTTCTCATGAACTAAGTACAGATCGCGTTCACACCGGAAATTAGTTCCTGGGGCAGGATTAGGCAAATGAAGCCGCTGACGTCACTTCTTCTTATTCTGCTTTGGGTTTACTGGCAGACCGCAAACAACTTCACGGCGTATACTGCCGCCCAAAATCCCCGGCCGGAAGTCCCCGGAGTTGGGGACTCTCAGCAGCTTCTACTGAAGCCTTCCGAGTAAACGGCCAGAACGCCGACACCTCCTCATCTCCACCGCTCCCATGTTTTATTTTGTGTTGTCATAAGTTAGTCTCTCTGCGTTTCTGCGCTGGGCTAATGCTAATGCTAATAATGCAATGCGAGGATAATAAAATGGCAGCTTCACAAAAGTTTTTGGGACTTTTACGGGGCGTGGTTTGCAATCCGCCCAGCCAATCAGACACAGGAACCTTTTTCTCCTGCTCTCTAGCAGGGACTGAAAAGGGGGTGAAAAAGGTTCTCTAGAACTAATTTAGTTCCTGGGACTTTTTGGTGTGAACGCAACTAAATCGTAGTTCTCAGGAACCTTTGTGGGAAATTACTGAACACGCCTAATATTGGATGAATCTAAAAATATCCCTTAAAGGAAGGATGACTTCAACAAAAAGACCATACTACCAATGATAAATGGTATTCATGGTTGAATGCAAATATTGTAAGTCGCTTTGGATAAAAGTGTCAGTTAAATTAAATGTGATGTAATAATAAATTCCCTGTTCCCTATTCTCCTCTCAGATTTACTGTACCAATTTCCTGTCTACTGTTGAGCCTGTTCTGGTAAATGACTGTAAAACCACTGATTCAGTTGAGAATGACCCATCTGCACCCCCACTCGCCCCAGACTGGTCTCTGTACTGTCCCTTGGTTTTGGAGGTTTTATACATTTTTGGATTTGTTGTAAATGCATCAATGACATTGAGGAGATTGAGGAACACACATGCATGCTATGTAATTTCCCACTGACCATTATGATTGCGCTGAAATGTGCCTTCGGAAAAACCAGTCAGCAAATTTCTAACAAAATGACAAAAAATACTTTGATGTGATAATTATGTTAAACTTGCAATGTTGTATAAAACAAACAAACCGCAACAAAAAAGTTTAATTGGGATTCAATCTGCACCTTAGGAGGCAATTTCAGAAAAATCCGTTTAACTGACCTCAATAAGATTTCCGTGAAAAATATCCAGTTTCAAAAATATATGTTTACGAAGATGTCTGTAATGTTGATTCAGTCTTCAACTCTCATGCACAGAATCAGTTTAATTACCTCTGAAACACTATGACAGAGCCAAGTTTAAGTACGTATGTTCATTTCTAAAACCAAAAGTTGAATAAATTAACCTTCAGTTACACTTTAAATTCATGTGGGCAAACAATAATTATACGAGAACACTAATAAATACTTCTTGCATTTAAGGAATACATGATCTTAAACCAGTTATAGATTTGTTTACATGTGTATAACTGTGTTTTTTGTTACATGCACATGTCAATGTACTTCATGTGTAGATGGGCAAATGTAAGCATATGTTTTTGCTTAAACATGGCCTTCCTGTGCATGTGTGAACATGTCATTACATGTTTACGCACGTGTGTTTCAGCTCTAATTTGAAACAAGTTTGGAGTAAGTCATTCTACATCAGAACATGGTCGTCTTAAACTCCGTCCCTCTTTGGATCAATCTTCAGTAATTACAGAGCACCAGGCAGAGGGCGCTGGCACTCCCAGTCCACCAGGCCCCAGCCAAGAGGCCCTGTTTCTGGGGAGGAAGTGGCCTTAAATGGGCATTCCTTAAAATGTGGCCGTATTCCTGCTTCTGTGGTACTCTAAAGCTGCTGAACTACATCAACCTTAATGTGGTCAACACTGAGTGTGATGGTATGTTATCTGTTTTGAAAATATGCTTTTTCCGGAAACCAAGAATCCTCGATGAATGCTGGAGTAAAAGAGAAAGAGGACGGAGGAGGGTTGCCAAAACTCTGCATTTTGCAGGATAATGTCATGACCTTATTTGGGAATCTATAGACAAATAGTTGAATTTTGTATCTAATTTGGTGCTTAATAATCATGGTCCTCAGAGAATGAGTTCCTTTAATCACACATATATAAACAGTGTTGTGCTTCATTTCTGCAATCTATAGTCTCAAGAAAGCTTATTTGCACATTTTTGGACTGTGGGAGGAAATACTTTATTTGGATGTGAACATAAATATTTTGACAAATATTAATTGTTGTCCTTTTCTTTTCTTTACTCTGTAAAGCGACTTTGAGCACCTTTAAAAGCGCTAATAAAATAAATGTATTATTACATTTATTATATTGTATTTGTTTGTTTGTCTTTACTTGACCTAACACCCTACAGACCAGAATAGCATAAATATGACTGCTTGGTATTGAAAGTAATTTAACAGAAAACAAAATTCCAGTATGTGGCTGTGTGGCTGTTTGTCTGTCACAACAGAGATGCTCAACTAACCTATCAGAGCAGACTGGGCTCTGGTTTCAGACAGAGGGTGAAAAGAGACGTTGCAGCACAGGTAGTATGAGAAAAATAAAGAGCTTTTTGAACATTAAAGCGTGGAGACACCAGAGAATAATAGCTCAGGAAAAGCCATGATCTAAGCTAGCAATGGTTTAAGCATTATAAGTGAAGACGCACAGTGCATAACACTGAGTTAAAGTTAGATTTGTTTTTCCGTCTAAACTTTCCAAAATCTCAAACTTGGCAGCAGGTCAGGTTAGCTAACACGGCATGAGGGGACATAAACAAGGTCAACGTTTCCACTCCAAACGGGAATCAACAGTATGAGAAGAGAGAGAGCAAAGATGGTGTTGGAAAAACAAAGGACAATGAAAGAAAGAAAGGAAAACGAGAAAAGAAAATACAGCACAGACAGTGGCCGGTCAGCTTTGTGCAGATGACGACGTGTTTTCCATTAATTGGAAACCCTCACCTTTGTTTATGTGAGTGGGCGGTTATAATCCTCTGAGTGGTGAGCAGAGGTTTGGGTCAGACTCGTGGGAAGATGTTCTGTATAAACATTTTGATTAAGACGTCACCTAATGCTATTGCTTGTTATTTTTATAAAATTGCAGGAAATCACGTGATTTTAAAGTCATTATTACGTACAGTATGTCATCATTATGTTTTTAAGTCTAAGGCTAAAATGACTTTGCTTGAATTCTATTTTAAACTCCACAAGTCATTCTGTGGACGTAGGTGTGAATCTGTGTATGCTGCAAAAAAACTGTGTAACAAATGTGAACAAAAACTAATGGTACTTACAAGGTCTATCCAGGAAGATATTACAATTGTGGTGCGAGGAAATTCAAAGACAATCTACAGAAGTAGAAAAATAATATTTTATAAGGCTATACATAAACCCCAACAGTAAGCTTTCAACTTGTAATTTGAAATCCTGACAATACGCATTTGACTTGAACACATAAGAGAAATTGAAAAGTGTCCCTGTTTGGCTTGATGACGTAAACATACAGAACTTTGGATATGTTGCATGATTTGAAAAGTCTAATTTATAGCTATCTTTAAGGCTATATTTCTGATTTTTTTCTGTCTCTGATTCATTTCTACTTTACAGATTTAGGGCTTCGTCTACTGTAGGCTAGTGTATTTGGTGGTGATGACATGCAGCACTTACACTGATACCTCAAATTCCTCTTAAGGAACCAGAGCTCCTTTAATGTTGCCTGCAGGGGTTGAGAATATTTAGCAGAGAAAGAGGCAGCTATAAATACTCTTTAATGTCAGGTCTGAGTCGGGACCTGTGAACAGCCAGAGGAGGGTTTGGGTGGAGGCCCACACATCTGTCAGCTACTGCGTACGTGTGTGGTCTGCCTTGAGGACAAATGTTATTCAGGTAATTAATGTTGTTGTGTAAATCTAATCTGGATCTAAAAGGAAGATTAAAGCTTGTACAAACAAGATCTACCGTTATTAGGCATTCTTTCTCTGTAATTGACAATTAGGCCATTTATCTTATTAACCATTTATGCAGTGCAGTGATAGCTTTTTGAGGGATTAGCGTCCTGCTTAGTACCAGACAAAGCCATATTGTTTGGTCACACTGTAAATGTGTTTACAGAATAAACTCAGCATGTCAAAGTTTCATGAGAGGAAACACTGTCTTTTCTTGGTAGTTTTTATTGTATTTTCCCATTTTATATGATGCTCTACTTTAATTAGTGATGGCTTTTCTAGTTGGGCTTTGTTCCATTTCCTGACAGTTCCGTTTTAGCAAGGCTTGTAAAAACCTGTTACAGACTTTGCATCTATTCAACAACCAGCTGTTGCTATTTTACTAGATGCTAAAAAAGCACTTGATAGGATAGAGTGGTTTTCGCCTATTTCACTTACTGTCAAAGTTTGGGTTTTTTGAGGAACAAAATAAATTGGTCTCAGTAAGTGAGGTCAGGGCAGTGTATGGTGCCGCTGGAAGTCTGCAAATAGACCATCGCTTCAGTTGGTAAACAAAAAATGTATTTTCGGAGCGAAAGGCCATGAGAATAATAAGCAGTTGATTTCAGACTATTAGGGTTTCTAATTAGTAGGCCATTGACAATTTCATGACAGACACTTCCCAACATTGTTTTTCTGACTGCCTCATTCTGGATTCATGACGCCTCGCCAGCCATCTTATGTCCTGTTATTGACCCCTACTGGCCCAAACGCTGACTTTCTGTAAAGGAGGCATTTTCTTTTTCTGAGCCACAACAGTTTTAATAGCGTTGTAACAATACTATATTACTATTACTATAATACTATAATAAATAAGTAGGGCTGTCAAACGATTAACATTTTTAATCAGATTAATCACAGCTTAAAAATTAATTAATCATGATTAATCACCATTCGAACTATGTCCAAAATATGCCATTTCTTTATGTATATTGTTGTGGGAATGGAAAGATAAAGGAAAGAAGGCGGATATATCCATTTAACATACAGTAGGCTATGTATGTTTGTTTATTATAACATTGTTCTGTGTGTCAAAATGAAAGACAGCCCACACAT